CCCGGGCCCGCCGCCTCCGGCCTCCGCCCCTGGCACCGGGCCACGCGGACTCAGCGCAGGGCTGGCACGGCAGGGCACCGGCAGAGCCACCAGGGACGGGAAGGCCTGGCCCTCCCCCAGCCGCAACAGGCCTTGAGCGGAGCCCTGCAGGGGACCCCACTGCCCACCCCGGCTCCCGCATGGCCAGCGGCTGCCAGGCGCCCACCTTGTCCTTCTTGTACTCCTCGTACTCCGGGTCGTCCGTGGGCAGCTCCTGGCGGCACAGGGGGCAGGAGTTGGTCTGGGGAGAGGAAGGAACTTGCTGACTGGCCCTCCCCCAGCCGCAACAGGCCTTGAGCGGAGCCCTGCAGGGGACCCCACTGCCCACCCCGGCTCCCGCATGGCCAGCGGCTGCCAGGCGCCCACCTTGTCCTTCTTGTACTCCTCGTACTCCGGGTCGTCCGTGGGCAGCTCCTGGCGGCACAGGGGGCAGGAGTTGGTCTGGGGAGAGGAAGGAACTTGCTGATAATGTCCCCTTGCGTGCCCTGTGTGCCCTGGTCTCTTCCAGGGGCCCAGGTACGGGTGAGGCTGCCGTGGGTGGGCAGGGGAAGCCCAGCTGGTCCTGGGGGTGCCCCCTGCCCCTACCTTGCCCAGCCAGGGCAGGATGCAGCCCGAGTGGAAGAGGTGCTCACAGGGCATCTTCTTGGCGCCCTCGTCCTCCTCGAACTCCAGCAGGCAGACGGGGCATTTCAGCCCTTTGTCTGGGCGGGGGGCGGGAGAGAAACGCATCAGGCTGGTCCAGTCCCAGGCAGGGCAGGCCTGCTCCCGGCGCTCCAGGGAAATGGGCACCAGGCGTCCCGCCGGAGCGCCGAGATCCAGCATGGACCCAGCCCACAGGGAACGGCCGCCCCACGGTCAGGCCTGCTCCCGGCGCTCCAGGGAAATGGGCACCAGGCGTCCCGCCGGAGCGCCGAGATCCAGCATGGACCCAGCCCACAGGGAACGGCCGCCCCACGGGGCCACGCTGGCGGGGGGCAGCAAAGCATCCCTGTGGGCCCGAGTGGGCGGTGGCGTTTCAATGCCCCCCCC